ACAATGCTATGTTTTCCACAGGGAATGGGAAATCAGTTCAATCTGTTAGATAAGAGAACGTTAGAAATTTATAGTCAACAAAAAACAAGAGGCAAGCAGTAGTTAAAGTACAAGTGACTGGCTATGTGGAGCCAGAGGAAAGGCATTTGTAGAGCTATTGAGGATGATCAGGTACAAAGTGTTGGGTTGGTGCTCAATTGACTTGGCAGAATTCTTACTAAAATGACCTTTAGGGGGCCAAGTATAGCCACCGAGAGTGGCGCCCTTTCAAAGAGTAAGAGGAGGAGCCTGATTCGTATCAATATACACATGGTGTAAAGGTTATGAAAGACTAGACTCTAATAGCCCATTGCACTCAAGAACTCAGTGCAAGCCAGGCATGGTGTCACACAGTGTTAATCCCAGCACTGGGAGGCCAGCGAGGCAGGCAGATCTCTGTGAGTTCAAACCAATCTGGTCTACATGGTGAGTTCTAGTACAGTCAGGCCTACGAAGACAGACCCTACTTTAAAAAGAAAGGAGGGGGGGGAGAAAGAAGGAAGGAAGAAGAAAGAAGGAAAGAGAAAGGAAGAAAGGAAGAAAGAAAGAAAGAGAAAGAAGAAAGAACTCAGTGCTGCTGTAGTTATCTACATGAGATCTTCTCAAGTCTGGCCTATCATTTCACCACAGTTTAGGGAACCCATTAGGCCCATTTTTGTTCCTGAGGAACCATTGGCAATTAACAATTACTGGGGCTCCCAACAATTTTCTTCAGTGGTGTAGCCACTGATAAGTTGCCCTTGCTCTAGTAAATAACTTTCCACCCCTGCTCAGGCAAGAAACTCTAATTAAACTCAGTAGACCACACCAACAAGAAGACAAAAGATAGCTGGCGGTGGTGGCGCACGCCTTTAACCCAGCACTCGGGAGGCAGAGGCAGGCGGATCTCTGTGAGTTTGAGGCTGGGCTGGACCAACAGCCTCCAAAACAATACAGAGAAACCCTGTCTCGTAAAACCAAAAAAAAAAAAAAAAAAAAAAAAAAAAAGACAAAAGACAAAAGATTTCTTGAGAGAGAGAGTTCTATCTGGAGAGAAAGGGAATAAGATGAGGGAATGGAGATGGAAAAAACTAAAACTCATTATATAAATACATACAGTATTCAAGCAACAAAGAATATAGTATAGATGTGTGTGTATGTATGTTTGTATTTGGTTTTAAAAAATATTTGTTTTTATTTTTTATGTGGATGAGTGTTTTGTCTAGATGCATATGCATGTATGATATATATGTCTGGTTGCCCATAGAGGATAAAAGATGACGTCAGAACCCCAGGAACTGGAATGACTGGGCATTAGGACTTAATGGAACATCAAAAGCTAGAGAATTCCATGACCAAATCTCCATTTGAGGAACCTCAGGAAGCTGAGTGGGGACCAGACTGTTGACATCAAGGCTTCCCAATATATATTTCACTAGTGACTTAGCACAGACTGATTCTCAGGTTCCCCTGCAGTCTTTGTGGGGCTGCAGCTGCAGCTTTGCTGCACTGGAGTACCTCTCAGGCTCTGGAGAGGAATGGATAAAATGAAAAGAATCCGGGTGAGCAAATTGTGACCTAAGGCTGAAGGGTGATATCTCCTATAAAGGACTTGCGGGTGGCCCACAGCCAAGCCCGTTTGTCTGCATGGTGTCTGTCAATGCCTTTGTGCTTAGCGGCAGAGGATTTGGGACTTGTGAGAGTTTGCCATCTGGCTCTCAACTCATTTAAAGTGTTAAAAAAAAAACTTGTGTATTAGTCTATTTTGTCCCTTTTTCTCCAATTATTTATTCTGTATGCTGTATTCAAAAGAATTTATGCAAATGCTTCTGGGCAGCCCAGTGCAAATTTTCAAAGCTTGACTAATTCTTGTGACGATGACTCCAGAATGCTACCCAGACGGCTGATAAGATGGCAATTCTTAGCATCTCTCCAGGGGCAGAGAGATGGGTTTGATTGACACAGTGAAAGAGGCTGTTAACCCAACTGGTTGAGAATAAGACCACTACCATATTTTGGGGGGCAAATTGAAGCAAGTTTTAATTAGATACTGGCTAAGGTGATGGACTATGGCCAAGGCCATTCTGGGGTTCCCAGAAAATGGCAGTGAGTCATATTTTCAGAGGTTTAAAGAAGGCAAACCTTCTCATCGGGTCCAATCAGGAACAAGCATTTATCTCGACATACTTCCTGCCTACATCCAGCTGGGGCAAGCATGCATCCTGATTATTTCATGCCTTCGTACCTCCCACCTCCATGTGGTCAAACACATCTGCTGCAATTTGGTCAAATACGCTTGTTTAGGGGAGCAAAATCATGGCTTGTTACCTTACATTAACAAGAGCCTCCAGCACTTCAGGAAGTGTATCTGTCCTTGGGCAAGGGGTTTATAGGTTACAGGCATTTTTGTTTTATGGCTCTCTTAGGCTTAATAGTTAAACTTAAAACATAACTTTAGCTCTCACAATGCCAGACCTGGATAGTACAAAGTTCTGAATAGTCTGCATAACGTTTAGGACCTTGAATTTGAAAAGTTCAGAGTAAGCGGAAGTTTGGGTGTTGAATTTAATTGTAAGGTTTTTGTTGGATTCCTATTTCCTATCTTTGAATTTAGCACACTACAGTTCTTGTGGGGAACTGCACTGGGTATCTTTTTTTTTTTTTTAACTAATAGTAGCAGGTTTTTGTTGTTTGTTTTCCGTTTTTGTTTTTATGAGACAGCAGCTCACCATGCATCCTCAGCTGGCCTGTAATTCACAGAAACCTGACTTTTAGCAGGTTCTTAAGAGGCCATGCTCTTTTTGTTGTTGTTGTTTTCTGAGACAGAGTTTCTCTGTACTGCTTTGGAGCCTGTCCTGGTACTCACTCTGCAGACCAGACTGGCCTCGAACTCCGCCTGCCTCTGCCTCCCGAGGGCTGGGATTAAAGGCATGAGCCACAAATGCCCAGCAAGAAGCTCTGTTCCTAAATGAGGTTGTTTTGAATTGTAGACTACAGGATTCAGTAGGGGTCAAATACCAACACTGTGATAGGTGATTCCTGAGCTCTTCCCTAGTCTCACAAGCTACCAATCAACCACCCTTACCTCATACACTTTCAGACACTTGAAGACTAGCAAAGAAGCAAAACGTGTTTCTGGCTACATTTTTGGTAGCATCTTTAGACTTCCTCACCAGACAGTGACCGGAATATAAACATGGATAGGATTTCCATAATAAGAACTTCCTCTGGCTCTTATTGCCAAACCTGGGTCAGTGATGAGTATGTGGGGGGGGGGGGAGGGGGCAGGGGTGGCAAGTCCTGAAAACATCATGTGAAAAAATTAAAGCGCATTTCAGTTCTTAATTGAAATTATCCAGCGTTCAGGGAAAAGTCGATTTGCATAACAGTTGGCGTCTCACCTCCCAGTATTAAACCTATCTGTCCTACACAGCCTTTGTGGATCCGGTTTCCTGTCTTTTCTAGAAGGCAGCCTAATTGCTGCTGTCCTACGGAAACCCCTCCTGGGAGAGGGATTTAATTTGTTATTTAATCCCATGGTTTTATGGAGTCTGGTCAAACGCCGTACTCATCACAGGATTTTGTTAGCTTCATCGTTGTCCGGTTTTAGAATCCCTCCTCTGGTTTAATCTGACTCCTGTTTCTCTAATGCTCCTTTTATAACTTTGGTTTTATTTGTCTACTTTTCTGACCCAGAATGCCCTTTTCTGCTAGAGAAAAATCTCATCATCACTCTAAGAAGTATTGATTGCTGGCCCGCAGGGTACATGTCACTGTTCCTGGTGCTTTGGGGGGTTGGCCAGGTTCCATTAACTTTCCTCCATGATACAGCCGAAGTGCAGCCAAATGACAGCAAAAAGCCCACTCTGTCATTCCTTGCTTCTGGAGACCGTGGAGACGGGTATCCCAAAGGGTAGACCACTCGAATGACTCTCAAAAACCAGGTGGGTGATTTAATCATGAAGGTGTTCAGGCCCCTGGATAGCATCCTGACCTTTCACCTAGTTTCTTGGCAGAATAACTTTCCCTTCCATCTCCCCCATTCCCTTTTTTGCCCCCCTATCAGCCCTTTTAACAGCTGCAGAATGAGTGTAAGCAATGGACTATTACCTGACATCGTTTTTATGAGATGGAATTCCTTTTGATAAATGTCAGAAGGGGACAGACATTCTTCAGTGAAATGAGTTGGGCCTACAGCAGATTCGTCACTGCCACCTCACCAGTCATCCTTTTTGGTTCTGACAAATACGGTGTGTCCTGAGCTTGTCTGTCCTCGGTGACCTTAAGGAAATAGAAAAGTGATCCCATCCTTTCTGACTGCAGCAGCACGCAACTGTCAAAGACGGCAAGTTAGAAAAGATTAAAATGTATACGTACTTTTCCTGGGATTCTGTCCCTTTGGGGCAAATGCATAGGAGGACGTTGGAACAAAAGCATGCTATATGTTATGTTTATGTTAAAACAGAGGTTGCATTTAATTTTGAAACTTCGGAAGATTTGTTTTCATTATGTGTATAAGCGTGGGTGCGTGTGCCCAAGGAGTCCAGAACGTATTGGACCTCTTGGAGCTAGAGTAATGGGCAGGTGTGCCTGACGCGGGTACTAGGATCGAACTCAGATCCTCGGTAAGAGCAGAGCAAACTTCTAAGCACTGAGTTAGGTCTCCAGTTCCAGTCTGAAACTTAATGCTATAAAGCTCCATAAAAACCTGTGGTATCCCAATACGGGGATTCATTTCAAAATAGCCAAGTCTTCAACAATGCCTCTTCAGCTGTGCAAACCGTACACGAGAGAAATTCATCTGAAACAACCTTATTCCAGTGAGTGGACCCATCTTTCCCTAAGGACATATTACCATTAGTTATCCCATGTCACAATTGCCCTAGAGAGCAGGAAATAAAGGAAATCGAGTCATAACAGAAGGTGTGAAGCTAGAATTACTCCCTCGGATACCATAGAAACAGAAACTCCGGGAGCAGGGCTGTTAGTCTATGCTTGGCATTTAGTTCCAGGAATGAAGGGGAGTCAGTCATTCTTTCCCGGGTTAGCCTAAAAATCTACTGTTACTACACCTTGGCTCTTGTTAACATTGAACCATAAATTTCAATGCTAGGTGCATGAGAAAGACTTCCCCTGGACTTTAACAGGTAAAATAGACCACTCATGAACTTATCCTTTTAACAGAATGTTACTAGTCTCTATGATATATAGGTCTGTAAAAAGCATGGGGTAGAGGAGAACTCAATGAACTGTGTAGAGGAGAACTCAATGAATTGTGCTCTTGCTCTTACGCAATTTGTCTGCCATGAACAAATAATTCTTTTTTCTTTTTCTCTCCTCTTTTCTTTCTTTCTTTTTTTATTTTTTTGAGGCAGTGTTTCTCTATAGTTCTGGCTGTCCCCGAACTCATTATGTAGATAGATCAGGCAGACCTGGAACCCATAGAGATCTATCTGCTCCTGCCTCCCTAGTGCTGGGATTAAAGGTAGGTATTCTGGGCCGGGCTTTGATGGCACACGCCTTTAATCCCAGCACTTGGGAGGCAGAGGCAGGTGGATCTCTGTGAGTTCGAGGCCAGCCTGGTCTACAAGAGCCTCCAAAGCCACAGAGAAACCCTGTCTCGAAAAACCAAAAAAAAAAAAAAAAGGTAAGTGTTCTGAGGGTGGAATCCATATGAGTGAGATTAGTGAGTGCCTTTATAACAAGAGACATCAGAGAGACAAAATTCCTGTAGGTAAAGATATAGCAAGAAGAGTTGGGTGGTGGTGGTGCACACCTTTAATCCCAGCAGTCAGGAGGCAGAGGCAGGCGGATCTCTGTGAGTTCGAGTCCATCCTAGTCTACAAGAGCTTAATTCCAGGACAGCTAGGGCTGTTACACAGAGAAACCCTGTCTTAAAAAGAAAGAAAGGAAGGCAGGCAGGCAGGCAGGCAGGCAGGCAGGCAGACAGACAGACAGACAGACAGACAGACAGAGGCTGCCTTATATACGCTGGATGACACTGATTCTGCTGCCACCATGGCCTTGAACTTTACTGTCTTCAGAGCTATGAGAAGTATTTGTTTGCTATTTTGACCACCCATATAATATTATCATGACTTGACTAAGACAAGAGGATTAATATTCTACATTATGAGAAGGGAACAGAGTCACAGTGACAGACAGGTTCACTAATTTGCTTATGGTCACAAAGTTCATAAAAAGTAGAGTTGGTATTTCTCCAGGGTAGCCTCGAACTAGAGTCTGCTCTTAACCACTGCCATTCATCAGATAGCTCTCATTTAAATGAATAAACTGCTGACTGTCACGCTAGATGGTTGATAGGAAAATACCATTAAGAAGCTCACAATGTAGGGGGGGGGGACCGAATGATAACGACAGTGCAGTGGAATAAATGGGAGACCAATAGGAACGAATCATATTAGGAACATCAAGAAAACAGCAACACTGTAGCTTGTGGTTTGTGCTTATTGTTTTCTTATTAAAAACACCAATAGAGACAGTAATCCACAGCGCAGTTTAGAAAGTGTTACTAAATTTGCTACTGAGGCAAATGGGAAATCAAAGCGCTGCTAACGACTCTTTCCAAACTCGGTCTCTGGATATTCATCGGCCCTCACAGACTAACTTCATTAGCTCCTCAGTGATGTTAACTTCCACTGTTTCCACGTGAGCATAGAACGGGGGTTTTGTAAGGGAAACGGATGTGTAGAACTGGTCAACTAAAAACCTGTAATTATACTGTTATTAGTGATTGATGAAATTTCCCCTCTTAGATCTCATTATTCTTCCTTCCGTTTCTCAATTCTCAATTCCTTATCCCCATTCTTGCTTAGCTCCCCCAATCTCAATGCTTCACAGTCAACACATTCAACCCGTGCCGTCAGCATCGGGGGACAGTGTGATAGATACTGTTGCTCGCCCATCAAGAGTACTACAGGTTACTTAATAATAATAAATGGCAGGTTAACAAGAAAAAAGCATACCAGGTGTATGTGACGGCACAGGAGCCTTAGTGAAGCCATAAAGGCTCGGGGAGAACTGGTTTAGGCTTGTGTTTGTTGAAGAATGAATGATGCTCAGTTGTGTAGGGACGTGATTAGACAAATGTGTGATCAAATGGGAAGGGCTGTTGGAGGAAACCCCAGAATGCCTAGCTTTTCAGTCTGTCTGGTCTCTCTGTGTCTGTCTCTGGGAAAAACGAAGAATTGGACCAGGGACACAGGGATTATGGTAAAAAAAAAAAATAGAGGTAGTTTGTTAAATAATAGGAAGGCATTCCCAAGAATCGTAATGGGCCACAGAACTGGACCGGGCTAACTCCCAAAAGCCATTGTGTGTTGGGGGTGGGGGTGGGGGCAGCATCTTGACCTTTTAAGGTCATTTATGTAACAAGGGCCTTCTTAGAGGAAGCATGTGTCTCTCTCTTCAGCCAAGCAGCTTCTTTCAGATGTTAATTGCTCTCTCCTGCCACGTCAGCGTGGAAATAAAGGAAAAGTGAAGGAAGTCAGTGAGATGGCTGAGAGGGTAAAGGTGCCTACAGAAAGCCTGGTAAGCTGAGCTCAATCCTCCACGCCTAAGTGGCAGGAGAGAACCGACTCCCACAGATTGCCCTTTGGCCTCCCTGTGCACGACACTTGAGAGCTGGTGCACACACACACACACACACACACAGAGAGAGAGAGAGAGAGAGAGAGAGAGAGAGAGAGAGAGAGAGAGAGAGAGAGAGAGAGAGAGAGAGAGAGAGAGAGAGAAGCACACAGTAAATAAAAATGCAATGAAAAAGAAAAATAAAGGCCAGGCACTGTTGGCGGACACCTTTAATCCTAGCACTTGGGAGGCAGAGGCAGGCGGATCTCTGTGAGTGCAAGGCCAGCCTGATCTACAGAGCGAGTTCCAGGATAGTCTCCAAAACAATACAGAGAAACCCTGTCTCAAAACAAACAAAAAAAACAAAACAAAAAAAGAAGAAAAAAGAAAAATAATACTCGGTGTTAGTTCGTTCTCATTCCCATGGGAGGCGCCTCCTTGGGTCTGTAGCAAAATGTCCCCAACATTCTACCTCCATGTGGACATGGCCTTTTTTCTTCATGTCTGTCTCTTAAGGCAAATACACTTTCCTTGCCCACACTCCAATGATGCTTCTTTGATTTTTCTTCAGAGCCAGACTTCAGACCTGATCTGTGAAGACACCAGATGACTCTCAGCACAGATGATTTTGTCCCCTCTTTCCAGTCCCCAACCCTCTTTAAAAGACTGAACAACCGGCTGAGTCTCCAGGTTTTCTGACTACTTCAGTCTCTTTTCCTGTCTTGACAGTGACCAGGTGGTAAATGACCATCCTGTCTGTTTCAGGTGACCACTAAGAATGGGATCCTAGAATCCCAGTCTCTGTGGGATGGCTGGGGGCTACCTTTGACGAGAGGCAGGGAGCAAGCTTATGTGAACTAATCCCACCAGCTCACTCTCTACCTGGACTTTTTATCTTTCCACTCCACCCCTCCCTCCACTTTCTGGGTGTCAGGTGAGCACTCTGTCACTGAGCTGTTTTCCCAAACCAATTTCTACTTCCTGCATTGGTTTCCAAACTTTCTAGTTTCTCTACTTTCTCTTTAAAATGAAGTGGGGCTGAGTTCATGCCGGGTCTTTTTTTTTTATTGCAAAATGTGTAACTAAACAAAATATGATTGTGTTAGTTTGGATGAGTGGCACTATTAGGAGGGGTGGCCTTTTTGGAGCCGGTGTGGCCTCGTTGGAGGAAGTGTGTCACTGGGGGTGGGCTGTGAGGTTTGAGAAGCTCAAGTCAGCCCAGTGGCTCCTGTTCTCTTCCTGCTGCCTGCCATTCCAGATGTAGAACTCTCTGCTACCTCTCCAGCACGATGTCTGCCTGTGTACAGTCATACTTCCCACTAAGACGATAGTGGACTAAAACGCTGAATTGTAAGCCAGCTCCAATCAAATGCTTTTCTTTATAAGAGTAGCCATGGTCATAGTGTTTCTTCACAGTAATGGAAACCCTATGACCTTATCACTTTAACTAGTTCTGGGTTTGTTCATGTCTGACACTTGTAAGGCCACTCCTTCGGTTTGGGTTCATCCTAATTCAATATGACCTCATCTTGTAGCCAGCATGTCAAGAAAGAATGAGGCTATCACAAGACACACTTATGTCCCTCATTCTGACAACCTGGACTGCCAAAACAAGACACCTCAAGAATTAGAATTCCCCTAAGAATTTCATGTTGGGATCAGGAAAAAGCTGAAGCATGGTGCTAGCCAGAGAGGGAGCTTGACTCTCAGTAAGAAAGAGCAAGTAGCCGGCGGTGGTGGCGCACGCCTTTAATCCCAGCACTCGGGAGGCAGAGGCAGGTGGATCTCTGTGAGTTCAAGGCCAGCCTGGTCTACAGAGTGAGTTCTAGGACAGCCTCCAAAACAATACAGAGAAACCCTGTCACGAAAAACAAAACAAAACAAAACAAAAACAAAAAAACAAAGAAAGAACGAGCAAAGAGCTTTCTCACAGCACTAACTTGTCAGAATGCTTTGCAGGAGACACTGGAGGTAGGCAGTAAAGTTGGGACCACAGCGTGAATGGGGCTGCTGAACCGTATGTCCCCCTTTCCTTCTCTTTCACGTTGGGGCACTGAACATGGAGTTGGGGGGAATGATGAATCTCTTTGTTCCTCTTTCTAATCTACTGGGATCACATTGAATGAATCTGTGTTTTCAGTACAACTGGTTTATTTAGCTAGATTATTAAGGATGGGTGGCCAAATGCATCTTATTGAAGATGTCACAGCCCAGGGTCTGATTCTCAATAACTGATAACAACCATAATCCTAATTTATCTAGATACTGTTTCCCTTTTCTAATACCTGTGCTCAATTCATTTGCTCCATTTTGAAAGCCAATGATACAAACTAAAACTTAACTGTGTCCCCCATCAAATCTTTCCTGTCAAAAGCAGTCAACAGGGCCAGGGAGTGTACTTCTGAGGTAGAACATGTTTAGCATGCCCAAGGTTTTGGGCTTAACCACCAGCAGTCAAAACAACAAAGAATGGACACATTTTTAGATGGGAATCTGTCTCTAGGATGTCAGCAGGTATGTTTTTACCACAGTCACATAATGCATGTCAGAAACGTTTTTTTTCATCAGCCTTAAACATTGCCCATTCGCTGTTGACCTCAGTTCTTACAACAAGCTACTGATGGATGGACACCACTACAGTATAGGGGGGGTTTGCATGAACAAGTGTGTAGGAGCACTTGCCTGTGTACACATATGTGAGGAAGCCAAAGGTAATGGTGAGTGTCTCCTTCTCTACCATGTGCTTTTTCTTTTAGAGTGGGTCCCTCATTGAACATGCAGGTGGCAATTTCATCTAAAGTTGCTATCCAACAATTACTTAGCATCAGCCTGGATCTGCCCTCCCTCCCCACAATGTGTGCAACTGTGCCCAGCTTTTACCTGTAGGTCGGATCCAAACCCAAGTCCCCATTCTTATTCAGTAAGCTCTTTACTCACTGGGCCATTGCTCCAGCCTGGAGCCTGTTTCTGAGATTCTGGGTATGTGGTTTAAGATCACAGATGCTGCCCCTCTAGAAGGGATCAGCACGCCTTATATCTTACATACTAAGTTGTTTACCTCCTAGCATGTGCCAGCCTCATGGTAGGGTGGGATAATAGAACTAGCTTAGCACATTAAGGTCTTATATCTCATCTACTCCTTCCCCTAATACCGTAAACTCAGACAGTCTTCCACTCTAAACTCAGAGACCTTTCCTTTCCAAGTTCAGAGACACTTCACCTCTAACAGCTATAAACGTAAGAAACGTCCTTTGTTCTCTGAGTTTCTGTTGCATCTCTGATTCCCCAGCTCTGAGTGGCCAGAATTAGTAAAGGAATTGATTACCTGAAACATATCTCAGCTCCTCTCAATAGTGAACAAACACTCTGTTTACTTCCTTTCCTCATTTAACAGACAGGAGCTTTGGAAGAACCGTCTTCAATCCATTGCTGTCATTAGCCAATTAGTTACTGCGGCGAGTTCTATGGATTACCCACTGCATAGCCAGTGACTGTGTATTTCTTGATAATAATTGTTTTCCCAGAAGGATAATGTTAGTAGCCTCTAGAGTTGTGGGCCATGGTGAGTCTAAAGTAACAGAAATCTAGAGTTGTGGGCCATAGTGAGTCTAAGGTAATGGAAATGTTACTGCTTGTCAGAGTCTGGCTGGGCATCTCTAAGTTCTTGATCTCTAAATCCAAAGAAACAAAGATAAGGGCTCACACAGATTTGTAAAGGTAACAAGACAGCTTTCTTTGGAGACAGTGGTAGTACAACCAGAGAGGGACACAGTGCCAGGGTTACCAATGAGCTACACGAATGGGAATACTCATGGACTTTGATGGTTATTCGGGGCTTCTTTTTATGGTGTTCAAGAGAAAGAGGACTTTGAAGTGTAGCATTGGAAGTTCTCTATTTTAATGGGTAGCTTACATCATGCAATTTTTCTCCTATGCATATCCTTTCCTATAATGCATCTGATTTTGTTGATATGATTGTCCAATGACGCATCATCTTATTGGTAAATCTCTCTAAAATTTACTTGAGGATACAGTTGTGCCCTGCTGTACCCAAAACCGGTTTAGGCCTGATCAATCCTTGTAATATTCAAACACAGATACAGTGGGGACACACTTGACTAGAAACTGCATTTCATTGTCACTAAGGATGGAGAACTCTACACTGTTTCTCAGTCACCATCGGAGGTACAGTACATGTGGCAGCAGGTAGATGTTTGAAGGGGCCCTGGGGTCAGTAGGTGCATTACCTGATAACAGGTGTGTGGGATCTGCAGGTAAGATGTTAAACCACTAAATGCATGATATAAAAGGGGGGTGTGCATGGCCCGGTGCAAATGGAGTCCAACGTTTCCCTGTGCTTGAATATCTCAGGGACACATCTCTTGCCCTCTTTACCAGCCTCTACTGCTTTAAAGGCTGCCACGTGACCCAGTTCTGGTCAATTATATCTAAAATAGGCTCTGGAGGAGGTTATTCACCATTAAGAGAGAAAAGCCTAGAAAACAGTGTCTATATGTCCAGGCCCTCCCCTTTCTACATCCAAATGCTTCCCTGATCGATCCTCTCACCAAATTCAGTTACCTTTTCCTTTTCTGAAATTCATTTCCTATTTATGGCTTCATTTCTGCTCGATCCAGTATCCATCATTTCTCACTAGACAATTAAAACATTCTAATTAGCCTCCCTGCTTCATTCTAGGCCCATCTATTCCCTTTGGGCCCACCAGAGTAATTGGTCTGAAACACAGTTCATGCCCTCTGCTCAACAACTTTCCTCAGCTCCCAATTACTTAGAGAATAAAGTCTAAACTTGTTAGTGCTAATGAGCTGGCCTCAATCTATTTTTTCTAGTCTCATTTACTTTTATATCCTCATGGATGCTAGACTTTGTACTGCAAAATTATGAAATGGGAGAAAAGAGAGTTCTTGGGTATGATGGAGGCTTCCTAGATTCAGGGGCACATGCTTCGCACAGCTGAGATGCTGGACAAAGCAAGGTCCGTAGCAATTCTAAGCTAGTACCTACTGTGTTCTCTGTCTCAAAGACTTGAAAAATTAGTTTCCTAGACAGTAGAAGGGTGAATTTAGACTAGATTGGGCAAGGACAGCCAGCAATAGGAGGATACGTTTACAAAGTGTTTTAATTATAGATGAGAGCGAAAAAGAAAAGACAGAAGGCAAGGCAGGTCACAGAAATGGAGTGATCTCCGTGTGCTAGTCCGGGCCATTTTTATAGGATTTATGGAAAGACTGCCATGAGATATGGGGAGGTAAGCTGGTCAGCCCACTAAACCCATCCACGAAGTACCCAGGGGCTTCCCGATTTTAATCAAATCCTCTTGTGTAGCTCCTAGGCTGTGGGGGCTCATTTGTGTTGAGTAAAGGAAGAGGACAACTAACAAGAAATCAGCGCAGGAACCAAACTGACTTCTGACACTTTTGACTCCAGTTAGGACAGAACTAAGGCCACATCTCGCTTCTGGACAAGAACAAGGATGCCCACCACTAACCTGCTGGAGCAGGTCCCATCCCCTGCTTGCGTCAACTGCATCTCTGTATACTCCTGTACCTTCCCATCTCAGCCTGGGCAATCACTCCCGTTTATCTCCGGGGAGCTTGACCCCTATGTGACCGCTTCTGCGGGTACCCAGGAGGCACTACCTGAATGAAAAAAAAGGAAATAAAAAGGAAAGGAAAGGACATGACTGCTGCTAGGTAAGGTGGAGGAGGAGGCTCATTGTAGATACGTGGGAGAGCATAGTCAGAGGCAGAGTGGACATTACCAAACTGGGGTGGGCCATGTGGGCAGAAGGGGAGGAGAAGGGAGAGGGGAGAGAAAGGGACTAGATACAGCAGCTGTTGTAATTTTAAAAACACCTCTAAAAGAAGTCATGCCATACAGTAGAACTCACATAGGAGGTTTATTAGAAGAGAAGAGAGAAGGGGCAGAAAAGGGGACAGATAGAGGGGCAGAGACCACTCCCTGGGGACTAGGGCGGTGGAAAAGAAAGAGAGAGGGGGAGAGAGGGACAGAGAAAGAAAGATGGGAGGTGGGCAGAGTCCTTTTAAAAAGGAATGTAGTAAATGTGCACAGGAGGTGCTCCTAGTGGCTGCAGCTGAGGGCGTATCCTGTCAGAACCCCAAGGGCAGGCCAGTGCAGATGCCTGAATACTAATAGCAAGCAAGAGGAAAAAGGTACAAAAAGATCAAGCAACCAAAATTTCTGGATTACATAGGGAAGAGCAGCTGGGGGAAGGGAGGGCAGCCCAGTACCTGGGGCTGAATAGTTCAGGGTAGAGGGCAGAGTGTGCCGGCCATACCCTGTGGAGACTGAGGGATGCTGGGAGGACCTGGAGGTCAGGTCCACTTTGACATGTTTGTCCCGGGTTTGAAAGTTAACATTAACCTTTTCATATGAGGAAAAAAGGAGAGAAAGCTGACTAAAATGTATACATGTATGTGTATAGGATATTGAAATATTCTAATGTGTTTTATTCTTGATATTTTACACATATGAATATCATATTGCTAAAGAAAGCAAAATGATACCAATATTAAAATTGTGATCTGGATTCTAACTCGGTATTTCTTCAGCTTTAATTCAATATTCTTGTACTTAATTGTGAAGAAGTTGTTCAAAAGAGAATATGTAGAAAACACAGGAATATATTGCCCAAGGCCTAATACGGGAAGAAATGAGATATATTTAAAATTACATAATAGGGTTGGGAAAATGGCTCAGTGGTTAAGAGTACTGGTTTCTTGTCCAGGAGGCTTAAGTTCCCTTCCAAGCAGTCACACGGTAGCGTAAACTGTCAGTAAGTTAATAACGTCAGTTCCAGGAGATCCTACATCCTCTTCTGGCTTCCACAGTTGGCAGGCACACATGGCGCACAGATAAACACGAAGCCAAAACACTCACACACGTTAAAAAATAATAATAAATGCACGGGGTTGGGGATTTAGCTCAGTGGCAGAGCTCTGGCCTGTCAAGTGCAAAGCCCTGGGTTTGGTCCTCAGCTCCAGAAGACAGACAAACAAACAAACAAACAAATAAACAAAATGCACAGTAACAATCAGCTTCAGGGTACATAAAGGAGCTTAACTTAAGCCTGGGAGTTTCTCTGTTTCTTAACAGTGTTAGGGAAAAGAAAAGGGGTAAAGAAAGTCAGAAAGGAAGGAAGGAAAGAAGGAGGGAGGGAGGGAGGGAGGGAAGGAAAGAAGAAAGGAAGGAAGGAAGGAAGGAAGGAAGGAAGGAAGGAAGGAAGGAAGGAAGGAAGGAAGGAAGGAAGGAAGGAGGGAGGGAGGGAAGGAAGGAAGGAAGGAAAGGAGAGAAAAAACGCAGTTACCTGAATGAAAATGGGCTCAGTAAAGAAACCAAAGTCCCCACTCTGTGGGTGAGTAGGGAAAAGGTTACTCAAACTGCCAAGCTGTCTTGGGGGTTGGGGAAGGAAGCAAGGAGAAGCAACAGGGGAAAGACACAGGAGAAAGGGGCTCCTTTGCCGGGGAGGGCAACTCTAGCCAGTGATAAGGAGAATGACCCTTTTATATTATTTTAGGAAATAGGAACTTTCTTCAAGCCCACAAGAGACTGGTGGCCTTTGTCTAAATGTCCGACCTTGGGGAAAAGGAGTTTCTTGGGGGACCAGACATAACTCAAAGACAGAAAATATCATTGTCTTTAAAAGTATTGACTGGATACAATTCGGTAAGAAAAAAAGCGAGCCTGGTGTGGGGGTGGGTGCCTTTAATCCTAGCGGAGGCCAGGCCAGCCTGGTCTAGTAAGGGAGTTCCAGGTCTGCCAGGGCCATGTAAAGAAACCCCGTCTGAGCCTGGGGTTGGTGGCGCATGCCTTTAATCCCAGCACTCAGGAGGTAGAGGCAGGCGGATCTCTGTGAGTTCGAGGCCAGCCTGGTCTACAGAGTGAGTTCCAGGACAGCCTCCAAAACAATACAGAGAAACCCTGTCTCGAAAAACCAAAAAAAAAAAAAAAAAAAAAAAAGAAACCCCCGTCTGTCTCAAAAACCAAAACCAAACCAAAACAAAGAAACAGAAGGGGAGGGGAGAAAAAAAAAGAGTGCTTAGACATTATGTATCACAAGGTCAACATTACAGTTTTCTGAAAGATCTCCGCTAACAGGTGTTTTGTTCCAGAATATTACATGTTATCTAAGAAGATAAAGAACTGTAAATTGGGAGTGGGGGGGGACTACTTTCAAAATTGCTTCTTTTGTCCTTATTTGCTTAATCTACATTACTTCAAATTTTAAAAATCTTTAAAAAGTCCTGAACATATTCTAGAACAGTGTATGATAAAAATAAGCCATAATTACAGCTTACATTGCACGCTTAGCTGTATAAAGAGAATCCCTCGCATAGTGTGTAGGTCTGTGGTGCAACTTCTGTGGGCACCATACAAAGGCAGATGTTAATTAATTGGGCTCCAAGAGAACAAAGAATTCTTGATCAAATAAGCTTAGGAATGTCACTTACTAAATCCTGTTGTGGAGATCCAAAATGCACATTAGCATATTAAAAACCATGAAAAGTCCCACAGTTTTTTTTTAAAACTCCATTTAACTTTGTTCAAAGATAAAACATGCATTTATTTGTAATGAGGAAGAATTTCTTTCCCCTGAAACACCTATTAACAACTTCTTCCCAACAAAAGAAAATAAAATCATGTAAAAATTAAATGATTTTCCTTTTATCTCACATTAGAAAGGACTAAATGAAGGATTTGGGGAAGCTGCCTTATTATTTTGAATTTTCTGCTGTGCTTGAAGAATTGCATTATTTTTAAAGGACTGAGAATAAAGCAAGGCAACAGCAGGGGGTCCCTGAGAATCATGGAAGTTCTCTCTTCCCCAGTGGATGTCACTGGGGGAGAGAGAGTGCAAGGATGCTCTTGGTCAAGGATGCTTTTGGTCACACAAACCTTCCACCGAACAATTCTTGTTTCTTTGAATCTGAAGGACAGATTTCATGAACCATAGGGTGTGTGAGTTTTCCTAGTTCCTAAGTGAAACTCTCATGAATTCTGAGGCCAGTTGAACTGCATAGTGAGGACCAGTTCAGTCAGGGCTGCACAATGAAGGAAAACAGATAAACAACAGAGTGATAAGCAGAAAGCACACACTTAACACCGACAGGACAGACAGAATCCTTTAGGCAATAAGAACAGCCCATGGTGAACCATGAGCTAGCCATGTAGCATGTGACCCTCACAACTTGGGTCTGAGAACCCTATGTAGGGGCAGGAATGGTTAAAAAAAGGACAGACACAGACAAGAAAGCTGAGTTCAGGTGGGTTCTATTAGCATTACTATCCACCTGGACCCTTGGTGTGTTTATTAAGTGCAGCACAGGACGGGTCAGCTAGTCTTGCTAGGACAGGAGGTCTCTGTAGGCAGCAGTCTCAGGCTGTGACCATCTGGGAAGAGGAAGCCATATTTGCTAGTTTCCATGGATTGTTCATGAACACTCTATTGGGGCTGCTGAGGAGAGTTATTGTCAAAATACACATTCATTCAAGACTTTGCTCACCCAGGGCTGTCTTTACTCCCTGTATGGTTCCTAAATGGGTTAGTAACTCTCTGACTGAGACAAGGGAACATAGATAACAGATGTAGAGGCTTGACTGGCTTGTGTTCAAAGATTATTGAGAAAAAAAATTAGACTAAGATCATAAAAAGGGGGGGCAGGAAGAAAAGAAAATGGAACATCCATGGTTTCTATAGTAATATGAATAAGTGTGATTATTATTTCTCTATTTCCTCAAATGGGTGAGAATGTCACAGTAAATGAAGTAGAAGAGTAACAAGAAAATTGATTAATTCCAATATAGACTACCCCCACCTGTATCCAGTTCCTGCCAAAAGATCCCCAAAAGTCAAACAGGTCAAGACCACATGGAAGTATTCCTCCCCTGGAGTCTCTCTTACTCTAGGGAGTCCTTTTCTTACTTTTCCTCTACAAATCTGTGTTTGCTCTGCTTGTTTCTTTATCATGACATCATTTTTCTTTTTTTTTTTTTTGTTTTGTTACTTTTTTCATTTTTTTAAAATTATATTAGAAACAAGCTTGCTTCACATGTCAATCCCAGCTCCCTCTCCATCCCCTCCTCCCCCACCACCCCCCACTAGGCCCCCCAGCCCCCCACCCAATCTCCACTCTGATCCCCAGGGAGGGTGAGGACCTCCATAGGAGTTATCCAGAGTCTGTCATTTCATCCAGGGCAGGGCCTCATTGCGGGATGGGCACTTAAAGTCTATTTGTACACCAGGGATAAATACTACCCAAGGCCCCATAGATTGCCTACACCCACATTCAGGAGGTCTGGATCAGTCTCCCAGCTATCAGTCTGGGGTCCAAGAGCTCCCCCTTGTTAAGATCAGTTGTTTCTGTGGGTTAAACCAGCAGAGTCTTAACTCTTTTGCTTATCAGTCCTCCCTTTCTGCCACTGGATTACAGGAGTTCAGTTCAGTAGCATCTAGGTTGCTTCCAGGTTCTGGCTATTACAAATAATGCTGCTATGAACATAGTGGAACAGACATCCTTGTTGTATGAATGTTATTCTTTTGGGTATATGCCTAAGAGTGGAATTGCTGGGTCTTGTGGTAGGCTGATTCCCATTTTTCTGAGGAATCTCCATACTGATTTCCAAAGTGGCTGTACAAGTTGGCACTCCCACTGGCAGTGTAGGAGTGTTCCCCTTTCACCACATCCTCTCCAGCATAAACTGTCATTGGAGTTTTTTATTTTAGCCATTCTGACAGGAGTGAGATGGTGTCTCAGAGTTGTTTTGATTTGCATTTCCTGGATGGCTAAGGATGTTGAGCACTTTTTTAAGTGTCTCTCAGCCATTTTAAACTTCTCTATTGAGAATTCTCTATTTAGTCCTGTACCCCATGTTTTATTTTTTTATTTTTAGATATTTTTTATTTTTAAGTTTAAATTTAGATTAGAAACAAGGTTGCTTCACTTGTCAATTCCAGGTCCCTCTCCGTGTCCCTCCCCTCCTCCCGTGCCCTCCCACCAAACCCCCAATATCCCCTCATTTCCCCAAGGAGGGTGAGGCCCTCCATGGGGGTGTCCATAGTCTGTCATTTCATCCAGGGCAGGGCCTAGACCGTCCCCCAAGAGTTCAGGGTGAGAGTGCATCTCTCATTGTTGGATGGGAGTCTAACGTCCATTTGTATACCTGGGATAAATACTGATCTACTACCCAAGGCTCAATAGATTGCCTAGGCCTCCTCACTGACACCCACATTCAGGGGGTCTTGATCAGCCCCATGCTTGTACCCCATTTTTAATTGAATCCTTTGGTGTTTTGGAGGCTTACTTCTTGAGTTCTTTGTAAATTTTGGAGAACAGCCCTCTGTCAGATGTGGGGTTAGTGAACATCTGTTCCCATTCTGTTCATTGCCTTTTTGTCTTGCTGACTGTGTCCTTTGCCTTACAGAAGCTTCTCAGTTTCAGGAGATCCCACTTATTAATTGCCTATGTTAGTGTCTGTGCTACTGGTGTTATGTTCAGGAAACTGTCTCCTCTTCCATTTCATTCAAGGGCACCTCCCATTTTCTCTTCTAAGAGGTTCAGTATGGTTGGATTTATGTTGAGGTCTTTGATCCATTTGGATCAAATTTGTGCATGGAGATAGACATGGATCTATCTGCATTCTTCTACATGCCAGCCTCCAGTTATGCCAACACCATTTGTTGAAGATGCTTGCTTTTTCCACTGTATAATTTTAGCTTCTTTGTCAAAGATCACGTGTTCATGCATGTATTGGTTAATATCAGGGTGTTCAATTAGATTCCATTGGTCTAACTGTCTGTTTTTGTGCCAATATCAAGCTGTTTTCAGGACTATAGCTCTGTGATAGAGCTTGAAGTTAGGGATGGTGATGCCTCCCAATATTGCCTTGTTGAACAGGGTTGTTTTGGCTATCCTGGATCTTTTGTTTTTCCATATAAAGTTGAGAATTATTCTTTCAAGGTCTGTGAAGAATTGTGCTGGAATTTTAATGGGGATTGCATTAAGCGTGTATATTGCTTTTGGCGAGAGTGACATTTTTTTTTTGAGAGTGACATTTTTACTATATCGATCCTACCTATCTAAGAGCATGGGAGATCTTTCCATTTTCTGGTGTCTTCTTTAATTTCTTTCTTTTTGTTGTTGTTTTGTGTTTTGCTTTTTTGAGACAGGGTTTCTCTGTAGCTTTGGAGGCTGTCCTGACACTAGTTCTTGTAGACCAGGCTGGTCTCGAACTCACAGAGATCTGCCTGCCTCTACCTCCTGAGGGCTGAGATTAAAGGTGTGCACCACCACCGCCCTACTAATTTCTTTCTTTAAAGATTCAAAGTTCTTGCGATACAGGTCTTTCACTTGTTTGGTTAGCATTACCCCAAGGTATTTTATGTTGTGTGTTGCTACCGTAAAGGGCGATGTTTCTCTAATTTCTTTCTCAGCCCTTTTATCATCTGTATATAGTAGGACTACTGATTTTCTTGAGCTAATCTTGTATCCACTTTGCTGAAGGTGTTTATCAGCTGTAAGAGTTCCCTGGTAGAGTTATTTGGATCACTTATGTAAACTATCATATCATCTGCAAATAGTGGAAGTTTGACTTCTTCCTTTCCAAAATGTATCCTCTT